TTTCTCTACCTCTCTCTATCTCTCTCTCTCTCTCTTTATACCTATTAGTTCGACCAAAGAACATAATATATACATATGTATAACGTGTATAGAAATAAAATGCCAAGTGTTCGAAAGAATTTTGAAGTTGTATTTAACGTTGGAACCAAATCAAACAATTTATTTTAATTGTATCGATATCGAGGATCGATTCGATTATCGTACGAACATTTGTTGCAACTTTAACATGTACGAAATTAAAACACAAACTAATTAAATCTCATTGAAAGATTTTCTTTTTTTTTTTTTTTTTTTTTTTTGTATAAAAAGTGATTAATATTAATTATAATTATATCAAATATTTCGAAACATTGATTGTTTTTATTATATAAATGTATGAACAATATTTACATATGTGTATACGTGTGTACGTGTTTATCTTACTAATTAAAAAAGAAAAATATGTATAGATATATATATATATATCTTTTGTACTTCGATTTGCGATTTTTGCTGAAATGACATAAAATTATACTTCGTAATAATTCTTTACTCGTATAGCATTACGTCATAGGTCTCTTAGATAAGATCTCTAATTATAGCGAGCGCTTTGCAATCATAACGTTTAGGTTTAATTCCTGCCATTCTTTTTTGTTTAAATCACAATATTAATGTTTTAACGAAATGAAAATTCGTATATTACCTATATTTTATTTTTTTGTTGAAAAAAAAATCATCTTATCGTTAATTATTCGTTCAGATAAGAAAAAGACATATATTAACTTTCATATTATGCATTCTAGTTAGATATTATTATAGTGAACATACGTGGAAGATCTATCAATGTTCAAATAGTGATAAATACTTATGCTAAAACTGCTAAATCATAATAGATTCGAATAATAGAATTTTATTGCAGATATCTCATATATATATATATAGAAAGAGAGAGAGATAGATAGATTCTGATCACTGGATGAATAATACTGCGGTTCTATCTCTATATCTTTTTCTTTCTCTCTCCTTATCTGTTTCTCGTTCTTGTTTGTTATTAGATGACGCAGAAACGAGACAAACTTTTTCCAAGTATACATATCTACAGTAACACGAAAGTGGTATGGCACGTTTATAATAACCATGTACCACCCGGTGAGATCGGCGATGAGTAGTTTCGATTAAACACCTATCGTTAGGGGCAACACGATGCTTTAAACTCTGACCTTGCATGTAACACGTTGGCCTGTTCTATAAAAATTTTTTCTTTTCTTTTTCTCTCTCTCCTTGACAAATAAAAAAAATCCGCATGCAAGGGGACAAATGATAAGTTACACAATGAAATAATACAAATAGGTCGTGTAATTTTTTCTTATTAATAAAATTGGTACTCGAATAATGGCGGACAACCGAAATGAAATGAACGGAGATCATTTTTGAGAAGATTAACAAATTTATCGAGATTGAATGATAATCTTGCGATCTTAAAAAAATGATCTTCTAATGATTTATAATAAACTTTTAATAATTTAATAAGGTTATTATATATTAATAATAATATATAATATATATGTTATCAATATTTATATAAGTTATCTAATTAAAATTAATTATATTGGTGTATCTCTATGAAGATTTCTATAAATATTTTATATGAAAAATTTATATATTAGAAAATCCTATATTAAAGATTACATCCGTGTAATATTATTTATGATCATTCTCGGAATATGATGTGTAAATTCTATGATATTAAATGCCTTAATTGGAATAAACGTAAATGGTCTTACGGTTGCAACAGTTTTAACGAATCTTTAATTAATCAACAGTTCTCAAAATTATACACATGTATATATATTTTGTAAAACAATGTAATTAGAATTATCTTAATGCTCACAATAACGTATATTTAAATGATACAACCTTTGAAACGTTTGAATATTAAATTGATATGTCACGATTATTGTACACATCAGCATTTTGAAAATGATTAAGTACACGTAATTGTACATTTATGTAAGATTTTCGTTATGTAATTTTTACTGATATTTTTTTCGTTTTAAAATTTAACCAGACATTTCGTCATTAGACATTTCATTATAGTTCATTACTGTTTTTTGCATACTACGTCTATTCGTAAATTCCGTTCAATCGTAACTCACGTACGATGCGTTATTATAGAGAGTCATCGAACTTAAAATAGTATTATCTTTTTTTTTTTTTTTTTCTTTTTATAGATTTCTATCGTTGCGAGAAATATCAACTCTGATTAAAATAAGTTTTCGTTCGAAAACAATTTCGATCATTAAATTCTATAGATTAGTATAAAATTAATTTTGTAAAACGTTCATGTATTTTGTTAAATAGATCGTAAGTAGAAGCACCGGTATAACGCGTCGCCAGTATGCGACCGATTGAAAATAGAAAGAGCATTCTAGTTCGATGACCTGTAGTTATTTACAAGTAAAAGAACTTATATGAAAAAAATGGCATTATAATAGGGGCTTAATATCTTCTCAGTTTTTTTTACTCCTTTTTTTTTTTTTAATTATTAATTCCTATTAATAATTCGACCGATATAAAATGGATATGAAAAATTTGTGTTACTTCTTATGCATTTGGTGTCTTTCATTTTTTGTAAATATTATTTTAATAATTGTATAGGTGTGTGTGTATATATATATACGAATATTTTCGATCATATTTATATACGTATGAATATATGTGTAAGATCGTATATGAGTGCAATTAGATAACAAGCTACAATAGATGTATTTCGAGCACTTAATCATATTCTTGTATACGTTTCTTTATGAATTGGAAGTTAAAAGGTCAAAATAATTCTCAATTGTTGAACACGTCTTTATCTCTTTCAAATAATATAATAGTTTAATAAAAACGTTCTTGTACAAAGATATTTTACTTGCACAAAATTGGATATATAAAAATATATTATTCATATTATTTCAATATTAGAAATATATTCATTTGAAATGTAAATTTGTAAATATATATTGCCTCGTTATAAATTCAAATGAAATTATAATGATATTTATTAAGCACATATAATTTTCATTGTTATCATCTCGCTCAATTCGATATAAAATATTTTTGTAAAACATAACAGAATATAATAGGGTAATCGAATTAATTACGCGAGTACGCTTGTTTTATACAACCAGTTTATTATTGTGTCACAGATGGTATTATCAATAATGTTAAATCTTAAATCATTGTTTAATTCTATAAATGATCATTTGGTATTTGTCTGCTGTATAATAACGTTAAATTAATTGTCCTGTGTTACTGGCACTTTCGAAATGGCACTAATTCCTAATGAAATGCTATCTATTCTGTCTGCTGCTGTGTGTATGTGTGTGCGCACGCGCCTGTCTATGTGTGATTTGTATATCTATATATACAGGGTGGAACAATAACTTTGTCCACCTTGAATATATGCAAACGTGTCATCGTATCACTGAAATACATACACATCTTATCACCCGTTGATATGCCCTATTGTCACCGTAGCATTGATGCAAATGGTCACAGTTTCCAAAAAAAAACAAAAGAATAGTGCAATTTTTTCCTTTCAAGTTTTTTAATACAATTATAAACAAAGAAGATATATTCAAAATGGACAGAATCATTTACGCAACCTGTATATACGTATATTTGTATGAATCATCTGTGTCGATGTGAACGCACAAATGTAGTTTAAAAAAATATTCAATTTTTGATTTTTTAACGATTAAATGTATTAAATGTCGACCGAATGTGTTGACTCAACGATTATTGGTTTTCTCAAAAATTGATTATTTTTAATGTATATTATCTATTACAACTATAATTTTTAATCTAATTCTATTCAATGGCAAGCGTTCACAAAAAGTATAATCGCAAAATACATATTGTATGTGTCACACTATAAGCTTTTGTAGATAAATAATCAATGTATTTTGGTTCATGTGTATGGGATAATGTGCCGATTATTGTACAACGCTTATAATTAGTCCGATCTACTGTAAAGAAACATTTCTTTTTTTTTACTTTCTATAACGCATAGGTGTGTGTGTGTGTGTATGTATATGTAAGATGGAAGCACAAACTATGTATAGTTTACGCTCTACACGAGTCTTTTTATACGCTATGTTTTTTTTTTTCCTAAAACTACTCAGACTTCAGTTAACATTTATTTTCAATTACAATTCCACTTACAAGAATAATATTACGATAGTTTGTTATATATGAGCTACAGCCTCTATGTCGTTTATCTTTTCTTATCTTGTTTGTTTGGATTTGTTTTGTTTTTAATACTGCATTATATTATAATCAAACTCATTTTTTATTTTTTAGAGATTGCAGTCATGGCCATTATTCGCTTTTTCCCCTATCCTATATTATTCTAATTTGACACAAAATTTTTCTTCATAAACAGTCTTAACATTTATGATAATGTTTACATTGTGCTAAAAATATGTATGGAAGCTACAAAAAATGTTGTCATTTGCACGAAGGTCTTTGGTCATTATACATTATATATATATAAAGTTCCTATAGAACCGCTATGTCTCGTTTCAATTACATACATTTTATATTTTTGTGTGAAGGACGATTCAATATATTATTTTATCATTAATTTTAGACCTTGTGTTACTGTCGAAAAAATTCAGTAACTGTGTTGAATGCTTCTCAAGTAATATCGTATTTATCTACTTTCTAATAAGTTGTAAATTTCATAACCAGTATAAAAAATCATTAACATATCACAGCTCTAGAAAGATAAAATTGTATATTAATTATTATTATTATTACTTCTACATTCTTAATTCATATTCAACATATTATCGTAGTAATTAGTTAACGTACTATATAATTATAAGTCAACATATATAAGTATACATACATATGTGTATATTTGGCAGTGAATATTAAAATAAAAATTAAAAACATAATTCATTGTTATTATAATTTATATAATTATATAACATAAAAATATTTATAATACTACTTTAAAATGTCTTTAATATACTTCAATGAAAATATGTTTTCTATTTTAAATACTGCTCATGTACTTAAAAAACTGTATAAGGAACATTAACTTTTACTACTGGCTATGAAATTTCAAACTTACTTTTTGTGCAGCTAATAATCAAAATTAATCTCACAACTATTGGAAGTATTTCTGTAATTATCAACGATAATTGTTTATACTTATGATATTCTGTTACATCAAACAAGAATACATATTTTGTGAGTCATAAAGTATATTATCAACATTATCAGCAACAATATATTTAATCTCAAAATAAAAAAGAATAAAAACATATAAAACTATCATCACTTTGTGGATTAGCACCGTTAATCTCAAAATTAAAGCTCTTTTTTTTCTGTATAATACAGCTAAAAAAAGTTTATACAATTGTTTCTATCAAATACTGTTTTCAGCTAAAACTTCATTCGTCATCTTGGTTATTCACAGCTCATCTCATCAAATCTGCTGCCCTTTGTCTATCTCTATGTACTTCTCGAGGATGCATTCTTTTACGATGCGAAAAACAATTACCAGAACTGGCAAAGGCTTTTGGACAATAAGGACATTGGTAAGGCCTTGCACCAGTATGTTGATTTATGTGAAATTTCAAATCCTGATTTCTTTTGAATGTTTTATCACATAAAGGACAGGCATGCGGTCTTAAATCAGAATGAGTTATACTATGAGCTCGAAGAGTTGAATTTGTTGGATAAACTCTTCCACAAACATTACATGGAAATCTAATTTCACCGTGATATTCTTTATGCCTACATAAATTCGATTGTGTTTTGAAGCTAAAATATAATTAATACTAATTAATATTTTTTATAAGATAAAGAAGTCTTGTTAAGTTTAAGAAAATATTAAATCTACAAATGCCAAACTTACATTCGGCCACATATATCGCATCCATATTTTCCTTTAGGCCTATGAGTTTCTAAATGCACTTTCAGATTTCCTTTGGTAGAAATTTTTTTACTACAAATTGGACAAATAAAATTGGCAGATGAATTGTTATCAACATTCGTATGCAGCACACCGTTTGTCGAATAAACTTGTTGAGATCTTAAAATAGGTTTTCCATCCAAGCATTTTTCCCTTGGTAGATGTGACCATAAATGATTTTGTAAACCAATTTCTGATATGAAGGATCGCGTACATATTGTACATTCGTATCGTTTTGTTGTATTTAAATTATCTTCATCTGTTTCTTCATTAAATTTATTGTCATTAGATTCCCTTGTTATTTCCTTTTCTATTTCTGTATCTCTGTAATTGAAAATTCATGGATTTATTTTAAAAAACTTTATGCATTCATTTGTTCGTGCAGTAATAATTTCAATAATTTACTTGTTTGTTACACTTGATAATTCAGGAGAGTAAATTCTCATTGGACTTTCTTCTATGTCTGATGTATCCGACATATCTGAAGCAGATTGTTCCATACCACATTGCAAAAATAACATTGGATCTACTTTGACTTCCATTTCTTCCATACTTGGAGTATGACTTTTTTCTTCTTCTGATAGATGAGATAATTCGGATGGTCCAAGTGCTTCGCCCTCTGCTAAAATTTCTATGGCACCCTAAAAGATAGAATGAAACATTTTTCTTATTAGACAATAGAAAAAAAACAAATTTATTAATATGCAGTATCAATTGAAATACGTACTTTTGTAAGAATAGAATGCAGTAATCCTCTGTCTTCTACTTTTTTCGTAGCTTCTTGTGTATTTTTCAAACCTTGTCCCGCCGTATTTTGAACAGAATTAATATTGTCCAAAGTTTCGTATAATTGCAACCTTAATCTCTCTTGTGTACGATATGCCATCATTGCAAAACGATGTACTCCTTCCAATCTTTTGATACACGTTAAACAAACCATTTTTGATAGTTTATCTTCAGAGGATACCTGAAAAATAATATCAAGTAATAGTATATTCTTTTATTATTTGGCAATATTAAATAATAAAATTTAATTCGTCATAAAAATCGATTAACATTTCTACAAAAAAATATTTTACTTTCATACATTTATTACATTTTTTAATTACTAACTCATTTGCATTAATGATTATTTATAAGTTTTCTATAAATTTCATATTTATTTTGTTAATTATTATTTTCTTCAAGTATAATAATAATTTTTTTCAAAAAGAAGATAATAATTTCATAATAATTTTTTTTTTTTTTTTCATAAATATTTTTATTAAATTGATAATTATAAAATATTGTGTATGAAGTACTTTTCTTTTTAAAATTGTTTCTACGAAATTTCGTAAATATTTCAAACATATACGATATTTTATTTTTTTCTGCATAAAATATTTCATAGACGTCATATCTGAATACGCCGCCGCTTTATTCTCAAATATTTATAGACGCATCGCTTTATACCGCGCATGCAGTACATTATACTTATGGCAATCAATAAAATGCTAATTTTTAACACTTTTGCAGCACTGTACAAAATGGTTGCCACGAATCTCATTGAACGAGCAGTCATATTTTCTTCATTAATTTCTCATTATTATTATTAACATATATATACATATATATATATACATATTAATTAATATTATTAAAAAAAGTATATATTTTTTGACAAAAGATAGATGCAAATTTTGTTCTTACTAAGAATTTGCATTAAAATATTATCCATTTTAATTGTTAATTGCTAAACTATGATTACAAATTAGACCGTAAATAAATTCAAATAACTTCGATATATTTTAGAAAAAAGAAAAAAGAACAGTCGATTTTATTTTTATGAGTATCAACATTACCGATTATCATATTTTATCACGAAAATAATTCTCATTTATTTGATAATTAAAGATAATTAATTACTGATCGTGGCGATCAAACGCATCCTTAATTCTTACTCGAATATCCGTCGAGTAGTTGCACCGATGCATCGACATCGATAGTATCGATCTAAGTCAAAAAATCGTCAAATCAAATCCCTTCAAATAATTTATCGAGTAGAAATGGGTTTGATTGTTTGTTACTTGGATAGAAAATAATAGGAACGTTCATTTTTTCGTATGGAATTGTTGACAAAAATTGCCGATCTTAAGAAAATAATAATTGAAAGTGCATCCGATCGGGAATGTACCCAACTCGCACGTGGGAATCGTGGAGACACGAGTATGCATTATCTTGGTGAGAGTGGAAGACGCGCGCGCGTCCAGCGGTCGAGATTTTGAAAAAGATCCCGGTAACACAGAAACGTAAAAAAACACGCACTCGGCGGCCTCGGTTCGTTGTTGTGTTGTACCGATTCAAGATCGGCGGTTACCTTTTTTTTTCTCCTAAGGTCTTACAACTTACCAAGATGTAGAGATATTTGCGTATTTTGGTCTGCAAGTAGTGCCGTCTACCATCCTCGGTGAAAATGTTGACACCGTCGTTTCCATTAACGTCGCACGCACAAATCCGACAGTGCAGTCCGTCTTCCCGATCGCGCTCGAAATCGCGACCCGCCGTACCCATTTCAAAAAAATACAAATAAACAAAATTTACGGGAAACTAAAAGGAAAAAGAAATAGAAAGAGGACACTAAGAAATGATAACGGGGGAAGACTACGAATCCTTCCCCTCACCGCACGATGCGACGAGATATCGAAGCGTGGTGCTCTCACCGCAAAACGAACATATCTCTCTTTTTCTATCTCACCCCCTTACATCCCACCCTCGTATCTTATTCGGTATGTTTCGCTCTTGTTTCTCTCTCTCTCTCTATCTCTCTCTCTTTCTCTCTCTATCTCTCTCTCTTTTGTTTCTTTTTTTTTTTCAGTAGACGCGATTAATCGTTCAATCCCGGAAGACGACCAGTTACGTTTTTCACCGTTGCATCTTTACGATGTGCCAACGCGTTTCTTCCTTCCCCTCATCAAAAGAGAGAAAGAGTGAGAGTAAGAGAGAGTGAGAGAGAGAGAGAGAGAGAGTTGATTATTCTAACGATCCTTCTTTTTTTTTTTTTCTTCTTCTCTCTTTTCCCGTTTTCCTTTTCCCTTTTTTTTTTTTTTTTACTTATGAGTCTCTCGGATTGGGTGAGATTACTAACAGCACGCGGCTCGTCGACGCGTTAAAAACGACGTCGGCGCCGGGCGTCGGCGTCTACCTCCGAAACGAGTGCTCGATACAAAATATATAATAGCATTCGTCGATTTGAAAAACATATGTATATAACCGATTGTTTTATTTATGGATTTCTCTCGCCGCCGCCGCGCCGTGCCGCGCCGCGACGCACGCGTTCGAAGTCAAAACCATCTCGCATTTCCTCTTTCATCAATTAAACAAACCTTTTCCACGCCTTTTCAATCCCCCTCCATTTCCATCCGCTTTATCTCTCCTTTCTTTTACCTTCCTACATTGCCCAGGGATATTCACCTTTCGGTAATAGATTATACTGTCGCCGAAAATAAATAATATAATTTACCGACGCGGTTGCTCTCTCTCTTTCTCTTAATTGGTCCGCCATTTTCTACCTGCTTCGCGACTTTGACCCTTTTTTTTTTACATTTTTTGTATCTTCGATTCACTCCAAGGAGAACTCTTTATTCCTTCGTCGATTTTCCTCCCTTGATCCTTTCTTCGTCGATCTGTTTTAAGATTTCGCGTTTCACAATTTTCCCTCCAAATTTTCGAAATTTCTCCGCCGAATTTCTAATCCTTCCCGCCATTTTTCGGAGTCTGTATCCCTACGCCGAACAGAAGTACCTCGTGTGCTTTACCCCTTCTCTTTTTCTACCCCTCATTTCCTACCCTCCGACATCCACCCTCTCATGCGCGAAAAATAGTCCCAGTTATTCGCGAACGAACAGCCTCCCCCTCGGATATGTCCCGTTTAAAAAAATCAATACTTAATAATTAGCAATTAATACACGCGCCACGTACGTCTTCTCCCCTATCGCTTTTACTTCTTCCACCCTTTCCAATAAACCCTTTCCTCTTCTTTTATTTTAACCTATTGTTTATAAGAGTTTTGCATACAATTATTATTATTATTATTATTTAATTTTTATTTTAATTTCTCTTTCTCCCTCTCTTCTTCTTACATTTTACTTCCTTTTATATCATTGTTAGTTTTATTACATTTGAAAAATGTAAAACAAGTTCTCATTGAAATTATGTTATAGGTACGATTCTTTCTCGTCCCCCTATCAAAATCGTGCAACTTATAAACTGTGATAATAAGGTATTTTAAATCATTAATATAAGATTTTAATGTATATTTTTTATTTGATAGAATTGTGTTATATTGTATGGAATTTGATTTTATAATTTAAACTTTACGGATTAGATATGGATTAGATATGGATTAGATAATATAGTAATTAGCGATTAAAAAACAAACAAATATAAACAAAATTCTATAAATAATTATGTTTATTAATATTACTATTTTTAGTTACCAGAACACATGTTAATCTAGTATGATAATGAAAATATTCTGCAAAATAAGCTGTCGTGAAAAAGACCTAATATGTTTAACATTTTGCTTTATTTTGTATTGGTAGAAACAATTTAAATTCTGCTGGTAACTCATCTTCGGAATATAATCTATCAGAAAAATATACTCTACGTATTCGACAATTTGCATGAATTTGAACTCTTAAAGTTTCGACATAATTAGTTCCATATGCTCTGCGAGTGAAATCTGCTAAATTAAACTGTATTTGATTCCATCCGTCATCTAGTCTCATTGGCATAGTACATATGAACGGTTTTACTCTAGTTGTTGATTGATAATTACTTGCACGAAATCGACGACGTACATTTTTATCATCGATAACCTAAAATAATGAAATGTTTGTTAAAATGCATGTTAGAAGAATCTTAACCGATGTTATGATTTCTATAGAACTTATCTTTACCTGAACTTCAAAAGTAAAATATTTCTTCAAGTTTTTGATTATCATTACCAAAAATGGCAATTTAATTCCTAATGTTTTTCTTAAATCCGCAGGACATGTAATATAAGTAGTACTCACATTACCGCCTAGTATTTCTAATACAAGACTTTGTATGTCATTATCTGTAATTCTTTTGATATGACCATTTCTCACTTTTTTATCCCATATTTGTAATGGTTTGCTACCAATGCTATACAAAATGGATAAGAAGCCACTTTGGAATGTATTTTTGAACATATTTAATGATTCTTACAGATTTGCTGGACTACAAATTCTCTCAAGAAATATATTTGTTCTCTTTTGAAAATGTTCTTGAAAATGTGTTCAATCGTAGGTATTAAAATTACGTTTCAAATTTCAGAAAAAGTAACCTAACCTTGTTCCATTATGAAATCTCACGTTTTAGAAGAATTCTCTGTTGTGGATAATCAATGAAAGAAAACCATTTTGATTGCACAAATGTAGACAAGTAGATTTATACGATCACTTAACATTCATACATTTTTATTACAAATAAATATTTTCTTCGGTGAATTTTCTTTTCTCGAACAAATTGACGCGTAAGTTATGTATGTGAACTTCTATTACCGGTGCGGTATTTTAACTGCTTAGCTCAATGCTAATGAATATCAATCGATAAATTTATACTTGCGAATAGTTTCACGAAATGATCATATAAATTTACAATTTACGATTTAATTTACGAAGTGATTAAAACAAAAATAAATAATGCATATCAAGTTAATATAAATGCAACATTAAATTAATTTTAATAGTTTGTAAACATTAATTTAGACTATGGTAAATGTAAAGAATATTATGTGAATGATACTATAAAATAATTATTCCACAAAACGAAAAAATATAAATATTGAAGAACTAACTAACAAAACATTAATTTTGCTTCGTTGCGTATAAAATTTCAATTAGAAAAGTAATGAATAATAATAAATATGTACATCGAAATCAGTATAATTGATATTAATATCTGAATTTGCTTGAACGTAAAATTATATAATGACTATGTACTATTAATAATAATTTAATTTTATTCGCGGTTTAATTTCAAATAATAAAAAAACAAAGATGGCAGACGGACAACAGCGCCACCTTCGTTGATGAATTATTTCATACACGAGTAACCGTACACATATAAATATATTCATCGGTTAGCAGCTGACGATGGCGAGTGGTGGTGGTAAAATGATAATTTTGTTAAGTTCGTGGTTCAGTGTTTATATTTTAGACAAATCTTTTTACACAATAAGCTCATAAAGACTGCTTTAATTTTGTTTGGATTATATACGAAAAGACATTTAAGATAGTGGCCTTAGTGCCATATTAATACTGGATGAATAAGCAGTCGCTATGTGGGTAAAGCCAAAGGAGGTTCTACTTGCTAATGCTTTGTGGTAAACTTTGATGTTTTATATTTGACGAACAATAATTACTATTTATAATATATGTCAAACATAATTGATAATAGATCTTTAGTGTTGTCAATGAAACTAATTGTTTCTTCTTTTTGTCATATTGCAATTTTTCTTGCATTTTGTACAGTGTTGTATTTGAAAATGAACATCTTTTATTATTTAAATTGGATAACGAAACAATATTGAAGTTACAATATGTAGTTATTCTTATCGTTTCATGCATTAACATCTTTAGCATACGTCTATACGATTGCACATATGTACGTGTGAATGGTTTGTCTACAAAAGTGAATCATACAAACGTAATAAAAATTGCATTATAATTATATGCTTAAAAACATTGATATCCCGAAGATTTCATTTAAATAAAGCGAACGATATCGTTTAGAAAAGTTATTAGATTTTCTAGTTAATGTGACAGATGTTGTCTTAAGAAGTTGACGTGTTGGTGAGTAAAAGTGTGTACTTGACATTTCGAGAGGACAAAAATTAGCACATTTTTCAAATGATCTTACTACTTTTATATTTCTGTTTTTTCCTTCATTTACATAATAAATAATTAAATATTTGTTTTGAACATTACTTATATCATTCTCTACCCAATTATATTATCGATAAATTGATTAACAGGGTAAATGAACAATCAACGGTATATTTTGTCTTGCAACGCCGAAAAGGTCATGGAAAAACGAAAGGCCTTACATCTATACTAGTAGGAACATTGGACAGTGTATTTGATACTAAACCAGCACCATTTAGAATACTGCATCAAACACCGTCGTCTGAAGTTTATTGGGGTAATAAAATAATTCATAATAAATTCTTTATTATTTAAAACATACTTTGCAAATATTCTGTGCGTGTATATATGTATATATGAATATGTGACATATTATTCCAATAAATCAATATGATTAAAAATAATTATAATACGTTGTTTTATAATAAAAAGTAATATGTTAAAATTCAAAATTGTACGCAATGTTTTAAAACGTTTTATATTATCGTTTAAAAATCTGTCAAATATATGTTTTTCTTTTACTTCAAGAGATATCATGTTCTTTGACACACGAAGAAATTCTACAAGACTGGGAATGGCTTCATTCGAATTTAATAGATACGCTTCAATCATTTGACACGGAAGAAGATATAACAGAATTTGTTTGTTGTAAGATTCAATCCATTATCGCAAATAATATTCCAGATTGTCAATTTGCTGATGGTAAATTATTATTCTATATTGTCCCTAATTATTTCTATATGCAAATGCAAATTTTTATTTTTATTGTACGCATATGTTTATTTGCAGAAGAAGATCCAGCTGTGTTTAAGACAGTATCTTTCAAATTTCATCAATTATTTAACATACCAAAAGAAGACAAATTGGTCAATTATTATTCTTGCAGGTATATTTATTCTTATATAATTATTACAATTACAAATCTACTAATAAACAATTGAATATTAATTTCTTTCATAGCTATTGGAAATCTAGGATACCTAGGCAAGGATGGCTATATCTATCTGTAAATCATATGTGTTTTTATGCTTATATACTAGCAAGAGAGACAAAATTAGTTATAAGATGGGCAGATATTATTGAATTGGGTAAAACAAATTCCATATTAATACCAGATAGTATACGTGTCGTAACACGTGATAATAAAGAGGTAAAAAGTTTTTTTTACATGTTACTGTTATCTTAAAATAATTCATTTAATCGTGCTATAAAGGTATCGTTGCTACAAGAGATTATCTATTATTCTTTTTTTGTAGCATTATTTTTCTATGTTTCTACACAAATCGGAGACATATTCATTAATGGAACAGCTTACGAATATCGCCATGAAAAGGTACTTTTTCGCACTTTTATCCATCCATTATAGGTGAAATTGGTACAAGTGTATACATAATTTTTCATAGGCTCATTGATGAAAAGAGTGGTTTCAATGAGGACAGAGAACTATTGAATAAATTAAGGTATTTATATATAATTATATTACGTTGATACAATTATCAGTTTTCTTTTAAGAATCGTTAGATATTACTTATGAAATTGGTTTGATTTTAGTAAAAATGTACCTAAGAAACCATCATTCTTGAAAAGAGATCTTGATGCACGAGCACATTCAGAAGCATACAGGTTACAATTTAGATTACCAGGTAATGAAAAATTAGATGGTAATATTGATGCAACCTTGTGGACTCCGTACAATAAAAGATATGTTTGGGGAAAGATATATCTTTCACAGAACTATCTAGCGTTTGACAGTAGGGTAAGTAAGTATCTATATAAAACAAAATAATGTAAATTGAAACTAATTTTTAAAGTATTTATATAATCATTCATTAGGTAAGAAAATTAGTAAGTTTAGTCATACCTCTGAGAGAAGTACGACTCGTTGAATCTGCAGAAAATCAGTCTTCCTCCATAGAGAAATCGATATTGGTAACTACAACTCGTGCATCATTTTTATTCGCTCAGATCCAAGATAGAGTTTTTTTAGTTCAGAAGATATCTGAACTTTTGGCTAAATCAAAATTAATGTATCCGTAAGTTCAAATAAAATAACGTTTAACGATTAGGAATAATATTGATTATATATTTAAATATTTCATTGTTTTTAAACAGAGGTGTTGGTAGCCTAAGTTTGCAAAATACTTCAACAAATAGTTTAAATAATACTGAAGATGCAAAGCTTGTAGGAACATGGAAACCTCAACCACCATTAATGACGCTTTTTAAAGCTCCGCTCAGTACTGAAGCAGCTTTAAAACAAGAAGCTAAAGAAAAACAATGGGAACTTCATTTCGCAGAATATGGACGAGGTGTTACAATGTATCGTACTGTAGAAATGGCAAAGCTTGTAATCCAAGGAATTCCACAGTCCTTAAGAGGAGAAGTTTGGCTTACTTTTTCCGGTAATACAATTTTTATTCATCTTCTATATAAGAATGTTAAGGAAACTTTCATATATGCAAGATTTTATTTTTTATATTAGGTGCATTAAATGAGATGGCTACTAATCCGGGTCTTTATAAATCTTTGGTGGATAAATCATTGGGCAAATCTTGCCAAGCTAATGAAGAAATAGAGAGAGATTTGCATAGGTCTTTACCAGAACATCCTGCATTTCAATCAGATACTGGTATCAGCGCTTTAAGAAGGGTATTATCTGCTTATGCATGGAGAAATCCACAAATTGGTTATTATTATTATTATTTGTAATATTTATATATTTGAGTGTAATGTATTTCATTATATTTTATCATTATTTTGTTTATTTTTATACAACAGGATATTGTCAAGCTATGAACATAGTAGCTTCGGTTCTTTTAATATATTGCTCAGAAGAATCTGCTTTTTGGCAGCTGTGTAATGTTTGTGAATCTTTACTACCTGATTATTACGATCGGCGAGTCGTTGGTGCTCTCGTCGATCAAGGCCTCTTAGAAGAATTAGCTGCAGAATATTTACCAGATCTGCATGCTAGACTACAAGATCTTGGACTTATCAAAGTCATATCACTCTCTTGGTTTTTAACGATATTTTTAAGTGTCATGCCAACAAGTAGTGCTGTAAATATTATGGATTGTTTCTTCTATGATGGAGCAAAAGTTATATTCCAGGTAAACTTTCATTATTAGTTATTTCCTAATTTCATCCAATATAATTGATTTTAATTTATTCTAAACAAGTATTTCTTCTTCTATTAGATAGCATTAACAGTGTTACAATGGAATCAAGATAAACTACTTAATTGTCGTGACGATGGAGAAGCTATGCAATTGTTAACAGACTATTTAGGAGGTGTTTACAATAACGAGGGTCCCATTCTTCCTAGACCAGTTGATAATGCCACACCTAATAAAGTAAATTTATTTGTATTATCAAGATGAAATGATAACATTGTGTAAACATTTTTGGTTTTTTTTTTCTAGAGTATATCTGTCCAAACATTAATACACGAATCATATGTAAGATATGGCTCTTTGACTATTGGAGGAATTGAAAGGCTTCGTCTGAAACATAGGCTTAAAGTAGTTCAAAGTTTAGAAGAAGGAATAGAAAAAAATGTAATTAGAAGTGTTATTATAGATAAATATATGACCATGGAGGAGTTGCAGGTATTACTTTAATATTTACCATATATAATAATAAATATAATGAAATGTAATATTTCGTTACATGTAGAATATATTCGAATGTACATAGGAACTGTTGGCATTAGTGAGGGAGGAATTGATGAGCCAGCGAAAATCCGAGCCTGACAGATATGATCCTACACAACCACCGTACGAAGCTTATAAAATTGACTTTGAACTATTTAGAATATTATTTGGTGGCTTGTCGCCATGGGGTAAATGTACACAAGCTGAATCTCTTTCTGCTCGATTATTTCGTGTAAGTTATTATAATATATATACATTTTGATAGCACAAGTAAATAATGTTTTATACATTTAGTTAATGGATCGTAATCGTGATGGCTTACTAAATTTTCGAGAATTAGTGCAAGCTATTGGAATGACTGCAACAGCTGATCAAACACAAAGGTTGAAACTTCTTTATACTCTTCACTTACCACCACTTCTAACACCTGCTGATTTTGACTCGCCTACTCATTCAGGTAAATATTAACTTTTCTTGTAAATCGTCGTTAGAAAATTGTATGTAGTAGTAGTAGAAGTATAAGCGATTATACTGGTTAGATGGAGCTGAAGTAGCAGCAGAAGCAACAGATTTTTTTGATAGTATGGAACAGAGTGTGGCTTCCTTAGAAATGCCAGTCAGTGTGGCAGAAGAACCAACAGTGGGTACATTATCAAGATCAACGAGCATGAACAGTCAACATGGTGATCAGTCCTGGGAAATACAGAGTATGGATAGTTTACGGTCTATGATTGCATCAAGAGATAGTCCTTTGGATTTAAAAGTGGTGCCAAAAATGTCTCAAACTCACTTCATAGCATTATGGAAAACGCTTTATGATATGTTTCCAGCTCAACTAGAAGAACAAGAAACGTACCATAGTATAGCATCGATAGGTACTCTTATTTTATTTTTTAATGCATAATCTCTTTCATTATTGTGGAATGAAATATTACATGTTTATTAAAACTGTCCCAAGGTACTCTTTTACTGCAACTAGGCGATGTGGGGAAAAAGTTAAATATTAGTCGAGATGAATCGGAAGATAGTTTATTGTTAGCTGCTTCTGCCGTGCAACATATATCTTCTGCAACTGTAAGCTTTCATATTCTTTATATTATCTTACACGTATATATATATTTTGTTTTTCAAAATAATTTTTCTTTATAGTCACCTGATCGTAATGGAAACCCATCTAGTACATCGTCTTGTTCAGATCCCGATTGGTCGATAACTATTGAACAATTTCTAGCATCTGCATTAACTGGTCCACCGATAGTCGACTTTTTTAGTAAAAGAGCCGATCTTGCAGAAGCAATGGTAATCCTTAAAAATCGTAGATTTAATCGCGTTCATTCCTTATCTGATACTCCGATAATAAATGTATGATGTAAATCTCATTGAAACATAAGTGCAATATAGTTTTTTATGCGATAGATTGTCTTAAATATTTTAACGAGTATAATATTAAAGTATTTTAAATAAATATTTTAAACGTATCTGCATAGATCAAAATTGAAGCACTTATTAAATTTGAAACCAGGATGTTGGAATCGTGAAAAATAGATAAAAATGATGAGATTATCTAATGAGAATCTAATTATTGGATATCGTAACACTGTTTATATAAAGCACTGTATTCTTATTTGAACATTACAAATACTTTTTCTAAGTATATATGTTTATCTTTAATATAAAATATTCTATATCGGAGTAAGCTCGATGTATGTACATCTCTTTTACAATGGACATGTATATTTAAAATCTAAGGAATTAACATATTGTGTAAAGTAATGCATGATAACGCACATTGCTTGCAAATAATATTGTATTAACGATGGATTACACCTAGACATATTGGCCTATGTTTTCAAAGATATATTTCAAAAAGGAATAAAAAAAAGAAAAAGAAAGAAAAATGGATGACAAGCCATTTGTACAATAATAATAGCAAATATTCACAGTATAACTATTAAATATCAGTCCTATAATTTTAAGATTAGTGCTCTTTTAATACAACATGCCTCAGGTAATAAACAGTGATGTAATCCAGAAATATTTAAAAAAAATGAATTATAGTAAATGTTTTGTATCATTTATCATACATTGTCTTGTTAATACATTAAAAAATAATATTTCAATACAGTGATTCATTAAATTTCTCTTCGCTAATTCTATTAGTGATACAAATTTTTCATAAGTACAAGATGAACTAATAGAAAAAAAAAACACAAATAATATTTCGTTAGATTACCAATGTAAAATATTTTATTTCTCACAATTTTCTTGTACAACAACGATCTATTTTTAGACTGCAATACGCGATATCGAAATTGGAAATTCATCAAATGAAATTGATGAAATTTGGAAACGTATCAACAATTGTATGATTAATAAAATTATTAGTAGGAAACTATTAATAGGCTTGCTTTGATATAATTAAAGATACATTCCATTAACTAAATAATCAGCATCATGAGCATAAGGTCCATGTCCACGATGTCCACGTCTCTTTACTATTCGTAATCGGCAAGCTATTAATGCAGCAGTAATAGCTGTGGTTATTAATCCTAGCGCTAAAGAAATAACTGCACCTCTTGGTCTTAGATTGTCATGGTCATTTATTTGTTGAAGATGCTCTGCGACAACAGCACTTTTCTCGTGTTCTTTTACATGATTCTCCAAAACTATAATGCTTTTGTGATCTACAAAAATTGTATATCCAATTAAAAATCAAATCAAATTGATCATAATATTTTTTATATATAATTTACTTTCATAATTTTTGTTCACACCTGTTAACTCACTCTTATGTCCATGATTTTGTTTGGAAACGTCAATTTTAGTTGTATTTAATTGTTCTATATTATGTTTATCTTGTTTAATATGCGGTATTTCTTCTTGTTTCTTTTTATCTTCTTTACCATGCTCTCTCTCCTTTACTAATGTATCTGTGTGTTGTACGGAAGTCTGAAATAATTAATATGTCATATCATACAAATGTCATGAACACATTATATATGAAAACTATTAACTTTACCTCGCAAGGCGGTGATACTGTATTTTTTGTATTTTTGTCTAAATGGTTGACCAATTTTTGTGGAAGTTTTGGAGTTATCGATGGTGCTAGTTGAACTGGAGTCTCTTGCCATATTACTTTATTAGGTGGTGAGAAATGTGATGGATTCTTTGAATCCACGTAAACATTACTGAAATCCAAATTATTAAATTTATTAGTAGACAGAAATTAATAAAATTAATAAGATTTAATTTTTATTACCCATCTACATCGGGTTCTCTTATAACACCAGATCCTTTATGACTAAAAATGTGAGGCTGGTTTTCTAAAAATAAAATATCGTATTAACACGATACCATCACATTTGGCTACTAAATTGCAGTCTAGTATTAGATATTTTCAAATTTACACTTACGATCATACGGATTAAAATTACTTTGCTCTCGATAAGAATTTCCTGGAATGTATGAATCTTTGTTTTGTTCATATAATGGTTGATAATCCCACTGATATGCCGGCAAACCAAAATTTTTTTGCATTTGCGGTATTTCCATTTGCGGATATAAACTATTTGGTGGTTGTGATAATACTTGATTTGTTATACTTGGTAATTCCCATGGTTTTAAATTATTTTCTGGACCACGAGGATAAATTGGCACAAAAGCTTTGTGTTGATCAATCATGCGCTGATAATTCATAGCGTTAGAAGGTAATTGTGGGGATGGTCCTTGTATTGCTATTGAAGCTGAGATAGTTGGCTTTTCGGTAGGGCACACAAGATCTGCTGCTTCATCAGAACCATCCGCACATTGTGGAATACCATCGCAAACATTGTATATTGCTATACAGTCTCCAGTCGAACGACACTCATACTGATTGTGACTACAACCTATATATTTTTGTTTAGAAGATCAAATTTTATTATCACATACATTTAATATTTTCTAGAAAAATTTGAAAATGTTACCTCGCTTAGGGGGTGGTGTTGTTAAAATTAAACTCGATACTACAGTAACGCTTGGTTTAACAGGATGTTCTGTTACAGCATATTCAACTGGTGGAGTATCTGCAAGTTTCCTGTAAAGTTTAAATCATTCTAAATTAATAATATTTAATGTAGAATACAAACTATATAATTATATAATATGCATATGATACTTTAATATGTAAATTATAATCTACCTCAATGATTTTAATTCGTGTTCATGCTGAGAAAGTTGAATTTCTTCCTCCGATTGAGTATGACTGTGTATATTGTAATTGGTACGTACAGCGCTCGTGTAATTAACATGAGTGGTAAATTTACATTTGAAGTTTTGGAGTGGACCGCATTCAAACAAATAACAACTTCCTGGTTTCTAAAAGTTTACATTGCATTACATCATACTTTTAAAAATGAATGGATAAGCAAATAGAAAACAAGTGATAGAAAATGAAAAATCCAACATTGATACTTACTTTCTCTTCAAAGATGAAAACGTCACATTTATCTGTATTACAACAAAATTTAAAACATTCTTCTCTAGATTCAACGTCCATTTCATTTAAATATTTTGCACCAAGATCACGTGAATCTTCGGTTTTAATAATTTTATTCGTGTGAACGTCGAAACTTTTGAAACAGGTGTCATCATTATTCGCTCTATTGATATGTTCCTCATTTTTTGGTAAAGAAATTTCACCGTTTATATTGTGAAAAATTGCAATAATATTGAAAACAACGTATAGATCCCTGTAGTACATCCTTCCTTACAAATACGTGTAATACAGACGCGCATGCTTTTTGCGAGTTAACGTTCGATCAATAAATTGGAAGTGGTATTAAAAAGTAGAGAAGTAAGATCAGTATTTTATCTAATCGTATTATTTTTTTTTTCTTAACTTAATAATTGTTTTGTGAATTAAACAAAAGATTTTGTATAGATTTTATATACTTTACGTTAGAAGAATCATTCGCAATATCAAATACATTTTATTATAATTTATATATTTTTCCATAAATTTTAAATATCTATCGCAATACTATTTATTTAAATATTAAGTCTTCGAATTATTGTAAATAATTGTTTAAGTTTTTATCATATGCTCATATATATATATATATAAATATTTTTTTCAAATTAACTTGTACCCAAATATCGTATATGTGTATATTTAAATACGTTTAAATGTTCGCGCCATTATTTGCCATAGAATATAAAATACTAGAATCGTAACGAATGGAATTTTGCGTCCGGATTAAAATAGTTCGTATTTTACTTCGGAAGGTGGCGCTTGAATCTTGATTTTTGATTTTATTCTTTTATTTAAAAATTCTATGTAAACTATTGATTATTTTTCCCTTTAATTGTATATACTTAATTTTTTGAAGATATTTCTAATCGATTAAAAAATGTAAAACAAAATTATAAAAGCCAATGATATGATAGGAAAACAAAGAGAAATCATTGGAGAGAATATATATATATATATATAACAGCAGTATAGTTTTCAACTTGCAAAGTTTCAGTTGATTGCATTCATATGCTATTGTTTATAATCATTTACAGATAATTGTGACAACATCTAGTAATGTGCAATAGCCAATCACTGTAGACACAGTTAATATTGGTTAATATTTTTAATATTGAAGTATCATTGGTGGATTTCATTGGTAATTTTAAGCTTAATTTTTTAGACTTTAGTACGTGATTTTAATAACGAAATAATATGTTAATCAGCAATTAATTAAAATACAAAAACAAATATAGAAAGAATGCATATACATATGTACATAAATTCGACTGTAAAAAGGGGTGGAGGGAGAAAGAGAATAACGAGATAGTTTTTCGGCAGATGAAACGGAGTAAATAGAATCGAGCGCGTGAGTATTAACACGTTGCGAGGAAGAAAGAAGCAGATAGAGAGCAAGAGAGAGAGAGAGAAAGTAGGAACGAATAGGGATAGAGTGGGGAAAATAGAAGGAAAGAGAGAGAGAGAGATTTATGATAAACGTATAAGAGCGAATGAGAGAGAGCGACGAGAGTGAAAGAGTAATGGTGGGGGAAGCATGAGGAAGACAAGACCAGGCGGACAGGCTGGCAGACAGACCTGTCCGATTCACAACTCGCTAACCGCGATCCGTGCTTGTATTTCAGCTGTTTCTATTCCGTATTTCAACCGTTAGCATATATTTCAAAGAATATTAGAATCAGATTCGTACGGCGTAACAGCAAAATCGGATCCGTGTAGAAAACAGCACGCAACGCGAGAAAAGTAGAAAGAGAGAGGGGGAAAGAGAGAAAGAGCGAGAGGGAGAGAGTGAGAGAGAGAGAGAGAGGGTAGGAGAGAAAGAGGGTAGGAGAGAAAGAGGGGGAAAGATAGAGTACGAAGGAGCGAGCGCGCGCGAGAGTGAGAGAGAGAGAGAAAGAGAGAGAGAGACAGAAAAGAAAAAGAGAGAGAGAGAGAGAAAGAGAACAAACGAGCGCCGTTACGATAAAAGAGAAGTTTTACGGAACGTGTTCAAAAGCGTTCAATGGTCGAAGTAGCTATGCGCCACGCCGTTGTAGGGCTCTTAGCTAGCTAGTTTCAACTACGGGAGGTCTCTCGAGCCGCAGTTACGACCTCGAGAACGAGCGGGTTCACCTCGCGAAGATGACCATAATAGTCTTTTTGATCGACACATCGGCCTCCATGAATCAGAGGGTTTATTTGGGCGGGCGGCCCACGCTTTTGGATGTAGCCAAGAGCGCAGTGGAAACTTTCGTGAAGGTACGCCAAATAGACAGCTTTCTTGACCGGGTGTAAAGTTGTCATGAGTGTCTCTCCGTCGTTTCGTTGTGTGTGTAGGTGGGTGTATGTATGTGTGTGTGTGTGTGTGTGAGAGAGAGAGAGAAGGAGAGAATAAAGAGAGAAAAGAAAAAAGCAACGCGTGTTATACATCGTGATAAATTCCTGATTATTTCTTCGTATGTAAATCAAAAATACTTTTCCAGGTACGACAAAGATCACCGGAGAGCCGCGGGGATCGTTATATGCTCCTGACCTTCGAAGATCCGCCCCAGAATATCAAGGTATCTCGTATTCCTTGCTTAAACGTTCCCTGTTTCTCTCCTTCTTTCTTTCTCCCCTGTCCCTTCCAACGACTCCTCCTTCTTTCTCTTGCCCCTCTATTTGCTCCTATACTTCTATTGCTCTTTCTTTCCCTCTCTCCTCTACTTTTCTTCATCCGATCCCTCCTCTATACTACCAGTAGCGCTTCTACCTAATATTTTTGTTAATGTTTTTTCTCATAATCGAATTATTTTCTTAAACGATAATATTGTGGTTTTATGGAGATTCTCCTTTTCAAATTTAGTCCTGTTCGCATTTTTCTATTGTATGAAAGAACAATGAATAGAGATATCTAGAGAAGAACAACGTGAAATACACACTTTCCTATATACCTGTAGTCTTCCGTTGTGGAAGAACTGCATTATGGGTACCGCATGCTGAGATGCGCTTTCAGCGCCATCTCACTTTGTTTTTTTTATAAATACTCAAGCGCGCCAATATTTGAATTAGCATACGAGATATATTGTGATAAATTATTGAATAATAATCTAATAGAATTGTATGTTTGTTTTTTAAGGCTGGTTGGAAAGAAAATTTGGCCACCTTTATGAACGAATTGAAAAACTTACAATGTGTTGGCCTTACAACTTTAGGTGCTGCGTTAAAGCATGCTTTGGATGTTTTAAATATAAATAGGATGCAAACTGGTATCGATACTTATGGACAAGGAAGATGTCCATTTTACTTAGAACCGTCTGTAATTGTTGTTATAACGGATGGTGGAAAATATACGACCAACAGTGGAGTACATCAAGATGTAAGTTGCTATAGTTTGTCTTTAATAATGTTGTCTGTAATGTCTTTAATATTGTGCAGTTAATACCAAAATGATGTATTCGAGATATTTTTATTCATTCGGTAAAGTTAAAGTTTATGTTAAATATTTTCACATCAAATTTTGTTTTCTTACAAGTTTACATTACCAATGCATTCTCCTATACCTGGATCAGAATTAACTAAGGAACCATTTAGATGGGACCAAAGGCTATTTTCTTTGGTGTTGAGATTATCTGGGACACCAGCCGTTGAACGAGATACTGGTTTAGTTGCAAGCGATTCGTCTCCGATAGATGCAATGTGTGAAGTAACTGGAGGTATGATGGATAAATTATTTACTTTCATTATTCATTATAAAAATAGTTACAAAGTGATTAATTAATTCTATAAATTATAGGTCGTTCGTACTGCATAACATCGTTTAGAATGATGATGCAATGCATTGATTCTTTAGTACAAAAAGTTCAATCTGGCGTAGTAATAAATTTTGAAAAGATTGGACCTGATCCTCCTCCGCTTTCTAACGAGGTGCACAATCAAGATGAAGATGAGAACGAAGATGAAAATAATATTAACAATGGCCCTCGGACTCAGTATTCTACAAATCCAACAGTTCTAGGAAATACAGCATGGCATTCTTGTAGAAGATTAATTTACGTTCCACGTTCAGCACAGAAAGGGTTTGCAGTTGGCTTTTGGCCAATTCCAGAAAGTTTTTGGCCAGACTTAAGTGCTAGTTCACTGCCACCAAGATCTGCGCATCCCAATGTCAAGTTTACCTGTACCAGTCAAGAACCAATGGTAATAGAAAACCTACCATTTGACAAATATGAATTGGAACCCAGTCCGTTAACGCAGTATATATTAGCCAGAAAACAACCAACAATATGTTGGCAAGTATTTGTAGCAAATTCTTACAAATCCAGCGAGGTAGGCCATCCTTTTGGATATTTGAAAGCAAGCACAAACTTAACTTGCGTAAATTTATTCGTTATGCCCTACAATTATCCTGTGTTGTTACCGTTATTAGAAGAATTGTTTAAGGTACATAGGCTGAAACCAACAAATGAATGGAGAACACAATTCCAAAATTATATGAGAACTATGCCTACTTATTATTCTGCGGTAAGTTGCTTATATATACAATTTTATTGAATAGAAGAGACACACGCGCGTCTTATATACAAATATTTGACAATTTAAAATTTAATTTGATTTTATTTATTTGAATTTTTATTCAAACTTTTAATTACAGTCATTGAGGAGAGCATTAACTAGAATGGGTGCACCTGCTCCACTAGCACAAACTTTAATACCTGATAACATGGATAATTCTTTATCGTACAGTGTTTTAAATTATTTAAAACGCTTGAAAAATCAAGCAAAAATAGAGTTTGATAGACTATGTAATGAAGTTATTTCCAAACAAGTTGCAGCTGCTAATATGACAAAAAATTTAACTAATGCTAGTACAACTACCATAACGGAAGGTGTTAGAGTTATTCCCAGAACACCATTGAAAAAAGATTTGGTAAGAGATCTGAAAAAATTTTCTATGTACATCTTTCAAAAGTATATTCTTCAAATGCATGCATAAAAGTAACATTAAAATAATAAATTAATGAGATATTTTGTTGTAGGTATCACATCCTTTATTGCAAGACAAATTTACCGGACTTAGGGATCAATTAAATGAGTTTGGTGGATTCGTTGTTGGTTTAGTAAAGAATCAACAGCAACAGCGTGGTGCACAGAGTTATCGCAATGCTTTTGATGTCCCAAGAAAATCACTTTTGGATCAAGTTGTGAGAATGCGTGCAAATTTTTTGCAACCTGGATTATTACATACCAAATTATTAGACGATGATTATGTTCATTCAATGCCTTTAGCTCAGATGGGGAATTATCAGGAATATTTAAAAAGGATGACACCGCCTTTAAGAGAGATCGAAAGTGTACCTGTCAGACAACATATGTTTGGTAAATAATTTGACAAAATTCAATATTTAAGAGTATTTATTTCTTTGATTGTTCTCTATTGATTATTTTGAAATAATGACTAATATTTTTAACTTGGATTTGTAGGTAATCCTTTTAAAATAGACAAAAGGATGATGGTAGATGAAGCAGATATCGATATGGTTGGAGCAACATCTTCTACATCGAAAGGTGGTATAAAACGTTCATTACCACCTTCTGATGGAGGAGGGACACCTGTTCCAAGGCCGTCTCCCAATAAAAGAAAACCAGGTCCTATTCCAAAAGATGTTATTGTACGAAGACCTTCATATTCTCCTGCTAATACGCCTCCAAGTTCTCCAATACCTTGGATGGATGAAACCAAAAATCAAGTGGTACCAAATGTCGAACTAAATACTACACCAAATTTAACAAATGCAAGCCATGTAACGAGTACACCGTGTGCTGCTGCAAGCTCGCAAGAAAAATTAGTGAATGGACTTGCGGAAATGCCAACAATTCCAATTTTTGAAGCAATTCCAGCCGAACATGTTAATAATCATATGGATAGTCCACCTATTTTAACACCAATCGTAGTTAATAATGTTGACTTAAGAAGTGATGTTAAAAGTGAAAGGATAGATCTTGTTAATGTGGAAAGTAATAGACTGCCTTCTAATGACAGCAGCGAAAATAGTGACAAAATTGTAAGTGCAGTTGAAGAAAGGTTAACGAATCACGTTGAAGAGAAACTAGAACCGAAGATAGAAAAAGAAAAGGTCTTGACGAAAAAAGAATTGGAGGATATAAGAAGGCACAATTTAACGGTCAGGGAACTTGTTTACAAAGAAGTACGAAGACGGGGAACAAGTAGGTTCATTTTTATTTTATCTTATAATATTGACGTCCTCGTAATTTGTAATTTAATATTATAATATTTATATAGATGCGAATATATGCATATTCAATTTGTCTACTTGTTTCAGATCACGCAACATTATTTACGCATTTACATCAAATTCAAGGAACGTTGGATATTCGACTTGCATTTGTGAAAGATATTGTTAAGGAATCATTACGTTTTAAAAGACGTAAATTAGCTACATTGTTGGAAGAATATCTTAAGACTATACAAGAAGACGTTTGGACAGTGAATCACAAGGTGAATCACAATGGTGCCACAAAAATAAGCTAGGCATTAATTGACTTATAAGAAAGGATTATTTTAAGAAATGCATTAAACACTTTTTAAAGTGACTTATAAGCACGTAAATAGAGTATAAAGCACATAATGTGCATAATTTTTATTTGAGAAAGGAAAAAATATAAGGAAATAAGAAGAAGAAGAAGATTAGTAATATTCAAACATAAATATTTGAAAGATGCTTGAATAGTAGATGCAATTTCTATCGATAAATGCACTTTAGGTGTTAACCAAGAAAATACAATTTTTTTTTTATCTTGTTTAATTAATATTTTCATTTTACAAATGTTCAGTTGGTAGAAAATTTATTTTTTTGTTTTTGTTAATATTTGTATATACTTGAAAATTTATATTATGACAATAAATTCTTCCTAAAGTTGAAATTTGCAGATTTGTCAAATATTACGAGCAAAAGTATACGTAATTTATAAATATAACATTAATTTCTCTTATAAAAAAAAAAACAAATTTAATTAATTTCAAATAATATATTGCACATCACATTGTTCTCTGTCAGTATATTATTATATCAAAAAAATAATATAATGTTTAATAACATTAACGATACCATAAACACGTGCGGTTAAGTAGGCATATTAAATATGTTTTATAATCCAATTTACAATTCTCAATGCAGTTTTCTCTTTCAATGCACCTCTAATTAAATTTCTTTTAATTTATAGTCTTGGATGCAGGCATGCAAGACGATTTGAGGTGTAAAATATAGCGTCTAAGGGTCAATTATACTATACAAATAGTATACAAATATCTATTTGCATGGTATTTGGAATGTGATCTAATTTTAATAGTCAAGTAAAAAACTTTGTTTATCTGCTGTGAGAATTGTAAAAAAAGTATGACATAAATCAAAGATATAAAGATATTCTACCAGCTGTACAGTTCTTAGAGCCCATATCAAATTTAAGAAAAAGAATTACAACTGAAGTTATAGTTATATTGTCTTATTACGATTCACATATGTTCAAATCTATAATTTTTTAAGTAAAATCATCATTACAAAATTCTATATTAATAAGAAATCAACAGTGACGCAGTGATAAAAAAAAAACTGTGTAAATTTTGTTATATAAATTATTCATGTTATAAAGTTGAAGTGAGATTTAATTTCTGTAAATTTATAAAAAGAAAATTTGAGATTATTCTTGTTTATTATGCCTTTTCTCCTCTGTAATACATATCTTCTGTTAAAAACAGAGATTTCATAGGTGTATATTTTGTATTCAAAGATTAGTACATATTTTGTCATGTAATTTGCTAAATTAAAAATATCATTAAAAGTAGAAATGTTTTGTTGAAATGAACTATTTCACCTAAATTTACTATATGTAAAATAACCGTCGATGTATATGACACACAGAGTAGCTAGCTATCGTAAAAACTGTTGTAAGAACAAGTTTTACATCTAGCAAAAGATTTATTAAATGGAATGTATTATAACATTTTCCATAAAGGGTTGATAGTGCCTGACGTTATTAAAGATTGAAGTAAGAATGTTGTATTTATATTCGATTTGTTTTGCATGGAAGCATTTTACATCGAACTGCTACTAATGCAAAAGCATTCGAATGAAAGGATCATTAGTGGAATAGAAAATTCTTTTTAAATTGTGGTGTATTGTTTATTAATATTTTTAAAAAAATTAAATGATGTTATATCATGACGTTTTGACTTTTCATATAAGAGAAATTTTCTAAGTAATAAAAAAAAAAACTGATTATGTACAATATATTAAATACTGTACAAATTTTTACATTAACTTTATGTCCAAGGTGTGTAAATATACATGTAAAACTTTGATGATTACCAAATTTAGTAAATTAATGACAAACGTTATATGTCCGAGCTTATTTAAGATGTAATTAAATTATTGACTTTATTACTCTATTAATAGTTTCCATTTTAATGCGATTAGAGACAAATTTACTCATGTCAATTGTTTGTGAAGATCATTTGAAATAGCACAATCACACACAGTTTACATGAAATAATAGAAAAAAACTTTGACCAAATATTATGTAAGTTAATTGAAAAATCATTGTCAGAATGATTATCTTATTTTGTGTTAACTTCAATCCGAATGATCACTCTATTTTCAAAATTTTTCAAGCTTTCAAAGTGAACAAACATGAAAGAATTGTTGTACTGGCATAGAGAAAATAATTAAAATGAAATAAGTCAAATATAACATATCATTGATGTTAAATACATTTTCTATAAAAAAATGTTTAATTTCAAATAAGATAATCGATCTGAGAATTGATTTGGAAGTACTATGTGATATATGTACACAGATTTGATACTTGTAAATAATTTAGCTTTAAACTGTATAGAATAATTTTTATTTATTGAACCATTGAGAAATTTAAATATTCCACAGATTAGTTAGTAAATAACGGGGCTTAGCTGAGTCTAAAAGACAATGATGCTAAACGCTTATTGGCTCCGAACTAAATTAATTTAGAGTATTAAAATATTCAATTTAATATTAAAAATTGAATGTATAAAACACAAAGTGCGATTTTATAAGATACACGTTTATTGAATAACTATAGAAAATATTTGTAGATATTACATCATTGATTTTATGTTATTTTTATTTTTTTTTTTTTGCAAAGTTATATAAACTATTTTTGATTGAGCGTTTTAAAGATTTAACAGGTAATCATATTTTGTTTAAAAATTGCGAATGGACTGTAATTTTAACAAATTTTTTAATCTACTTAGTCCATAGATGCATATTTTGGATAAACAATATCCCCTTCTTAAATTGACGAACAAATCCTGTCTTTTTTTTCCCCATTGAAAACAAATGCTTTTTATACAATTTACAACATCAATATTTATGTCGATAACAATGTAACGATGTAACAGTGTAACAGGGACACGCAATACTACAATGAAAATTTAAACAAAATATGAGGATTACATTTGTCAAACTTGGTATAAGAAAGTGTTTATGCTTTAAGCAGCATAATTAATTGAATGCAATATTAAAAAGTATATTATAAAATGAATATTACTGCCATATTATTGCATTCGATAAGCTGATGTGCCTATTACATTGCTTTCGAATTGGTTTCCTTTCATTTTTCATATATACATTTTTCATATTCAGTTTTTACAAAGTTTATCTATGTATTGAAGAATTGTTATTGTTTTCTTTTTTATAAAATTTAAAAAGTGATATGTTTTAAAGTACGGTGTAAAATAATTATATATGTATATAGATATACATACATATGTTATATAAATATGAAAGGATCGTTCCATTTTTACGTTTATATTTTAGAAAAGATGGTGAACATAAGCTTAAAAAAGAATAAACAAAAGGATATAAAGCTTGATTATGTTTACACCGATTTCCTATTCTGAATACTAATAATACATACGTAAATGTAGGCAAATATGTATATGTATATATATTGTATTATATGTATATGCATATGCATACACACAAAAATACGACCTTTTTTAATGCTTTGTAATATTTCGTACTATTTAAAACAAAATGAACTTTGAATACACATTGAAGTTTATAAAATAGAATAAAAAAACAAAAACATAGAAAAACCAACAATGGAACAAAGAGAAAAAAGTTTGAAGAATACGTTTGTTCTTACCATAATAATCTTTCTAAATGACACAATAGAAAAAAAAATGATGTTAAGAATAAAAAATATAATAGTTTTTTACAAAATCAACAACATTTACTACGTTATATGTTTTACTAAATAAGTATAATTTAAATGATTACTTAAATAACTTTTAAACGTTTGAAAATCTTTAATTTCCTTTTCATTTCCATCGTATAAGTATAGTTTCAGTTAATACAGTAAATTATTATGGTACAGAATCTTTGTAATAAATAATAATATAATTAGAAGTATTGATAATTCTCGAAGATTTAAATATGTGAAACATTAAATACATAACTAACTTCGAAATTATTAAGAATGATAAGGAAACTTAAATCGATAAATTGCATCTTGTAAGATTCTTCTTTTTCTTTATTTCCTTGTGACGAAAAAAAAAAACAAAAAGAAAAAAAAGAAAAAAGAAACAAAATGACGAATTAATCGGAAATATTTTACTCGTAATAGGAGATATTAATTTTTTAATTAAGATATATGTTAATTTTTTTGTAATCGTCAGGCTAAATTTCATTAGCGCGAATAAATGAAATTTTCTATGGTGTATTGTGATAGGTTAGAATCTAGGGAAAGACGCCATTTTACCGAATATATCTAGCGCGTGATTGGTCGTTTCTTCGTAAATATCTCGCTCGGTTCCAGTAATCGAATTCGATAAGATACGATTCGATATAATTCGATTCGATAAGATGCGATTCGATAAAATACGATAACGATAACGAAAACGAGATTTTTACAATACGATAGTATCGATATTGTAAAAATCAGTAAAACGGAGCGGTCTGTAGACATGAAGGGTCAGAAAACGTTGGTCGACAGTCTCATACCAAAATGGCCGCATTTTAGTCTACAGACTACTTTTCTTTGTTGTTTGCCAATAGCTGTGCAAAGGGCCTGGGAGTGTTCGATAAAGTAACACGGTCTGTTTCGACCTATATTTCATTGTTAATCCGAGAGAAATCATTATTGTGAAATAGAATAAATATTTGGTAAGAAATTTCGTATCGTATACTTCCGTGTTCGTTAAAACCGGGCCAAGCCCAACGTCTATCGACTGACTTATTTATAGATTAAATTGCGTTTAAAACTATTAGCGTCATTGCAATAATGGAAGTGATTTACGAGCATCGTTTTCGTGTCCATTTTATTATAGGATTGTCAGTGCTTACTTGAGAATAATCAACTGAAATGAGGAAGATACCGGTTAACGGTTTTAAAAACGATCCCGAATCGTAATTTAGCGTTTTTATCATCTTATTTCATTATGTTAAACTTTATTTTCATTGACATTTAATTACGGTGCGTTTAATATTTATTTCTTTACAAATATTTTCATATTTCGTATATTATTAGAAATTCTTTTTATGTCAACTTCCTTCATCCTTTAATGTGTCATTTTGTTTGATGTGTTGGTGACATTTAGCGAAGAAATAATTTCATGTTTTCTACTTTTTTTTTTTTGTAGATTTTTACAAGATGTTACGCCACCAACACCATTCAATGCCAAATCAACTTAGAGATCATAATAGGTTGGTATTACATTCATTAGTTGTCAATTTTCTTTTGCAATTGTAAAAAAAAATACATGATTTATTATTAATTTTGAAAAGAATGGGAGGACCAATGCGCCCTATGCAGCAGGCTAGTATGGCCCCTTTACATCAGCCGCAGCATCCAATACCGCATCGGAATCCACATCAACAAATACTGCCCTTGCCCCCCCATCAACAACATTTACATCACATGCAGCACCATGGACCACCGCATGGAAATCCACGACAACCAATGTTGATGAGTATGAATGCACACAATTCCAATGGTAAGCTTTGAAAATAACAATTTTGTATATGTTTCAAAGGTCGTCTTATTCATTTTAATTACATTACTTTAATTCTATCTACGCGAAATATAATAGTGCAACATATTGTAATATTCCATCAGAACTTTGTGTTTCAATGAGTTAATCATTGTTTGTAATATTTAGTCTTTTATCCAGGTACTATGGTCAGCGTTAGTTTAAAGGATCAAACAAACACAGTCTCCGTGACCCTTCAAAATCCAAATATTCAATCGACGCAATTTCAGCAACAACAGAATAACCAACAGAATCAAGTTCAGCAGCACGTTCAACAGCAACAACGTCAACAACATCAGCAGCATCAACAGCAGCAGCAACAACAGCAACAACAACAGCAGCAACAACAGCAACAACAACAACAACAGCAACAAATCATGGAACAATCTAAACCATCTACGAACAAGGGTAACGGAGAGACTAGGGATCATAGTCCATCGCAACAAAATCATGCTAACGTGAATAATCCAGCTTTGGCAAACATGAAAGAAAAAACACCAATGTGCTTGCTAAATGAGTTAGCACGATTTAATAAAATTCAACATCAATACAGACTGACCAATGAAGAAGGACCGGCGCACAAAAAAAGATTTACTGTAACGTTAAAACTTGGAGAAGAAGAGTATGTAGCGGATGGACCTAGCATAAAGAAAGCTCAACACAGTGCAGCTGCTGAAGCACTAAGAAAAACGTGGTATAGACAGCCTCCGCTAAAACCTACTAAAGCATTGAGAATTGGTTATCCGGGGAAATGTTCACCTGGTTCAGGTAGTCGTATATTTATGTATTCTCAAAGACTATAGACATTTTACTTATGTATTTTTCATATCATTACGTCTTTTCATTGAACTTATTCGGTTTTTTTTTTTTTTTCTTAATTTCTCTTTAAAGGAAACGTACCGGCAACAGTAGAATTAAATGCATTGGCGATGAAAAGAGGAGAACCTACAGTCTATACCTTCAGACAAGCTCCGCCAGCCGGAATGCAGCCATTAGTTACGTATAGTTTTGCTAATTATCCGCGATTATTACATTCCAATTTGCCTCCTAATCATGGGTACCATGCTGAAACTACACCACCAATGATGTATATCGTTACCTTAAAGGTACACAATTTTTCTTGATTTTTCTATCGTATACATTAAAAAAGTTAATATTAATAAAGTATATGTCAAATTTGTAGGTCGGCGAGCGAGAGTTTACTGGTCGAGGTATGACAGCCCAATTGGCACGACATGACGCAGCAAAAAGAGCATTGGAACAATTACGTCAATTACCTTTACCAGAAGAGGTATCAACTAATTGTACCAATAGCAATGGAACACTAACCGGAATTGACGATCCAAATGCCGACTTGAAAAGTCCTGTTTCTTTAGTTCACGAGACTGCGTTAAAACGTGGTCTATCCGTTAGTTTCGAAGTTGTATCTGAAAGTGGTAAACCTCATATTCGTGTATTTGTGACTAAGTGTACCGTAGGAGATAAATCTACTGTCGGAGAAGGATCCTCAAAAAAAGTATGTGTATACGTATATATATTGCTTACAATGTATATAATTCGTTAAAGATATATACGAATAATTTATTTAGGTTTCAAAGAAACGAGCAGCAGAATTAATGTTAGAAGAATTAAAACGTCTTCCAACGTTACTTGTAAATGTTCAAAATCGGTTGTCGAACGTGAAACGTAAGCCTCCCGCGACGAAAAAAAAATCGAGAAATTTAATAAAGGTTTATCAAGATCCACGGGCGGAATCTGATGCTGTGGATGAACTTAATCCGGTTTCACGGCTTGTTCATATCCAACAAGCCAAACGAGAAAGAGAACCTGTTTATAATCTTATAGAAGAAAAGGGTGCTCCCCGGCGTAGAGAATTTATAATAGAAGTGACGACAGGACAAAATTCGGCTTGCGGATATGGTCCTAATAAGAAATTAGCTAAAAGAGCTGCGGCCGAAGCTCTTTTAGCTAAATTAGGGTATAGTAAACCACAGCCACAACCAACTAAACCATCCATTAAAACTGGAGAATCCGAAAATACTGAAAGCAAACCAAGAAAAGTAACTTTTCTTGAAGACGATCAAGTTAATGAAACTCAAAGTCATTCTGTAGGAGGTAAAAAAAGATATTTGCATAGCTTTCGATAGAATTCAAATTTCATTCATAGATTTTTCTTATATCTTTAAACTTTTATATAATTACAATCGATTATATATTCTATTAATTATCTTGTGGAAATTAATAGAATATTTGATATCTTTTGTGATATATATAAAAGATATTTTTTTTTCTTTTATTCGTTAAGGTACCATCGGACGTCAGTTAGTGCCTGGCTTGTTATTGGTGGACGGTGGTCAAGAATCTAAAGTAGGAAATGGACCTAGCGTTCAAGTGATCGCTGAAGAATTACGTGGACAACAACAAAATTCTGGAATATCTCCGAAAGATCAGTTAAAATATTTAGCGCAATTATTTAATTTCAATGTTGAATTTAGTGACTTCCCTAAGGTAACGAAACAAGTATGAACATTTTATTGTGCTTATTGTCATAAATTACTGATCGACAATATCATATAATATTGAATGTTTGATTTTTTAGGGTGGATCAATACACAAGGAATATCTATCGCTTGTAACACTAAGCACAGATCCACCGCAAGTGTGTCATGGTAATGGCCCAACAGCGAACGCAAGTCGTAATCAAGCAGCACTAACAGCTTTACGCACGTTAAGTAAGTTAGGTCTTGATAATGCTTCTAATTCACAATCTAAAAAAGACAAAGGTGCGTCCGGAGATGGAATACATATTAGTATTCAGGTCAAAAATAATATTATGGATGGAAATATCGATAAATAATTATCTGCTATTTAAAAATTAAATATGTAGGATTGATTACTTATATTGCCTTGAGGCACTGTACAAGAAAACTGATATTCTAACTTTTTATTTTTACATCTCCTTTGTCGTCAATTATATATAATCATTGTGTTTATAGTAAACTTCTATAAAGAAAAATGTTCATTTCAAGATGTCTCTTCTTTATACGACAAGATCTGTCTGGAAAATTTTCTACTGCTGAGTAATCTTGATCACTATTGTACGATATATTATTTTCATAGACATCAGATTTTCATGTCTTACTATTTATGCCTTTTCTCTAAGGGAATACAGTTTATATCTTTTACAGTGCCTTATATGCATTAAAATATGTTCAAGCCCCAATAACATACTATATCATTTAATAGACCGAATCAATTTTGCCATTGTATTTTTTTTGTTTCAAAAATAATCTAGAATTAAGTATTATGAACAATTTCTATGATTATATTATTTTGTCCATGAATTTACTTTATTTATTATTAAGAATAAGTGATCGTATATAAACATTCTTCAATATTTACAAGATTTTGTAAACCACATAAAAAGAAATCCTAAATTTTGAAAAATGTTCACATTTGAATATAAATGAATAATACGAGAAAATGAATCATTTATATTTTTGATTTCAATTTTAAACATTTATCACGATGCATTGAATAATATTGTATTGGTGCTTGATCAAGATTCTGGTTCTAACAATAAATTCTAATATATCGTATGAATTTGATTGATAGAACCACTATCCAATTATTAAATATTTACTCCGTGTAATTAAAATGGTCATACTCCAGATATGTAGCCAAAAAATAATTAAGAAGGTTCATATGATACTTATCTTGCGACGTTGTATTCATGATAGATAATTCTGCGATAAATATTCAGAAATATAGATAAAATCGTTAAATTTTTGGATTGACTTTCTATTAACATGCGAAAAAAAAAAAACAAATGTAGATTTTATTTTATTTAATTAGTTTTTTTTTTTTTTTATGTTCGTTTTAAGTGCATCAAATGATTCATGAAAATATTCATTGCTTGCATGAAGTAATTATTTTCTATTAGCAAGTGTTTATTTTGTTTTTGTGTGTGCTTAAAAGGTACGATAATATTATCTTCTTTTTTCTTTTTTTTTTTTAATGAGATATTATTTATAGTCAATCCTTAAATTTAATGCATTTCTTTTTGTGATTTTTTTCTTCCTAATTTTGTTTCGTTATTACTTTGCGTTTCTATTCTTTTTCTTATCCTATTTTATATAATTCACCACATTTGATAGAGTTTCGAATGAATAGAAGATTCAGTACATATGAACTTTTGCGAACTTCCGTGCGATCAAGGAAGACCCCTTCCATTCTGATATACAATTATCAAATACTTTGTATTTGGTTTATGATCATAAGAAAAAAAAAAAAACAATTGTAGAAATAATGAAGTAAAATTCATACATTTTCTGAGATGAAATGCGGCCATGCTCTAGGTCAATATGCAGATCTGGGAGAAATAGGTGATTCATGGGTTTGCTTAGACGAAGTTTAGAACATGAAGGTAACCCATGGATCAACTGTCGCTCGATTGTGCATACTTACCTTACAATTTCAAATAATTCCTTAGCTTTCTCATAATTCATGAATGGAAAAATGTCTTATTACCTAATAATGTTATTTCGTTTATTTATAGAGAATATTCGACTTAATAATTTTTCATGAAAGAAGTTATACAATATTTCTATAAAAAATCGAAGAAAATAAATGCGTATGTTGTCTGTATGTCTATCGGGTCATACATCCAAAAATATTATGGCTTTCATATGGTCAATATGTATAATTATTGAAAAAAACTAGGTAATGCGATATACATTTTTCTCATGCCCCAATTTGCTTTTTTATGGGGCCTAGAAGCATACTGGGGTCCATTCATGTTTGCGAAAAATATTGAGAAGTGAAGGAAATTGAAATTTCCGTGCATCTATCACTTCAACAAAAAAAAAAATAATTAAAAAAAAAAAAAAATAACAAAAAAGAAAAAACCATAAAAATATAAAAAAAAAAAAAAGAAAGAAAGAAAATAAAAAAAATGAAAAAAGAAGAAAAATAAGATTGATGGATGGCATGAGATATTTCAACGAATATGACAAAAGGTAATAATACAAAATTTATTTGACTCTCGTTGACTTGGTCACGGTCGCAAATGGTTTTTGACCAATAAACCGTTTAAAACAACAAGTACTATGAATTTTGTCTTATTGCCGAATGGGAGGAAAAAAGGAAACAAAAAATAAAAAATGAAGAAAAGCACTAATGTGGTGATAAAAAAAAAAACATGTAATAATGGATGAAGATAATATTGAGAGCACGGTACGAACTTTGAATATTTAACTTACTTTTGAAAGTAATCAACTTTTTGATTAGATAATTCAAAGTAATTGATCAAAAATAATTACTGTCTATTAGTAGAGACACATCTTCTCTAAAATAAAACGCTAATTTTTTTTCCCTGCCTGTTTAGAGTCTTAGGGAATGAAAAAATCCTCTCGTCTTTTTTGTTTTTCTTTTTTTTCTTTCTCCAAAGTTTTTAAACAGATATGGAAAAAAATGTATCGGTAAAAGTTACATAGAAAGATGTGAAGAAACGAAAAATCAATAAATTTCTTTCCTCGTGTAAAATTATTTAAAAATAATGATTGTATATATTAATGCAAAGTTCAGTCCCGTATTCTCACATAATTCCATCTTGTATTCATTATACACATAATATTATCCAAACTATTCGTTGCGTTAAAAATACAAACGATTGTTAACTCTTAATTAATGTGCCTCTTTACTTACCCATAAATAGAGAATGACGTATTCTATATATTACAAACTTAGAATGTCATTTCTGCGAATAATCCCAAGTGGAAATTTTTTCTACGAAATTGTTCATATTAATTTTTCTAACACGTCTCGTTATTCCAAAATTCGTCGAAAAAAAAATATATATATATCAAGAGAGTGTGTTCCTTTTTCTAACGTACTGTATTATAGATAAGTATTTTTTTTAAAAGCGAAATTCAGTATTAATTAAGACAGGTGGTAGATTTTGTTGCATAGTCTTTTAGGGGAAAGAGGGAGAATACACGTGTCTTGTTAAAAGTATTTTCCTTTCTAAACTTATTTTATTTAAATAATACTACAAGAACGAAATAGACGTAATGCGTAAATACAAATTATTATCTATTATATTGGAGTACTAATGAGACCCGATTATTCATTATTTATGAGACCGGATATTATATTATTAATCATATATTATGTTAAAAAAGATAACATTTTTTAAAGAGTCGTTTAATATTATAATATATACGGATTGATATTTTTTTCGTTTTAGCGATAAAACCACCGACAAGTAATATTTATTGAAATGTTTCATTTCTTGCTTATAATTATTATAAGTTCATTTTCATTATTATTTATTATCAATTATAAATTGTCTTTCATTTTCAAGTCTCCGAATAAAAAGGAAGATGTACAATAGTTTTAATTATTTCATAATATATAAATGTATATGATTAATTGCTTGTTTGTTTATAACGTTATCAGCATACGGCTTCCAAATATGTATTTAAAAAATATTTTCATTCTACAGAATGACTGTGTTTTCATGTATAACATGTAATCATTACCCACAAAAATTATCTTTTTTTTTTTTTAAAGAGGAAGTATTTTTTTATATTTATTCTTGGAACAATTTATTGGGCGGTTTTATCGAGTTCGTATTTAAAAATCAATAAATTTGATTGTAAAAATGTTGTTAGCGAGAGAGAGAGAGAGAGAGAGAGAGAAAGATTTGTCTGCTTATACAAGTGCAAGAAATATATAGTACAAGGACGAATCGTGCTCTTATAATTCGTACGTACGTAAAACTGATTTGTAATTATTGGAAATAAAGTATTTGTAATTGACTTTAAACATTAAATAAGAATTCACGAACTCATTGTAAATTTTAAATATCAATATTTTTACCGCCATTACTTATGAATTTAATTTCAATTCATTGGCTTTCTCGATACATTATATACATATATATATTTATGTTAATAATTATTAATTAGATAAAAAGAAATAATTATGTAGATTAATTGTATATTTTAAAAATTTCGACCGATTTAATAATAATACAGTTGTAGAATTTTATTGAATCACGTAGTTGAAAGATATTCTGTATACCGACATTTTGATCAATAGATGTCTTTCAAATGCGACCACTAGATGGCATGTCAATTAAATTTTTCATTAGTGTTATCCATCACTCTTGTATTTGATCTTGGACTGCAGACATAATTCGTGAAGGGAGGTTATCTTTCATTCGTCAAATAAGAAAATGGCGTCTTATACTGTAGCACGTCTTTTATCCAAAAATACCGGTATCTTTAAGAATTCAATCGCTCGGTTGCATTTATATAGGGCTAGCACGCAATTAACTTGTTACGGAAAATTATTCGATCGTTCGAGGCAAAATGTCGTACCATTAACATCTCAGGTAAACACTTGTATAAACTATACAAAACCAACGAACTTTTCGTTTAATTTGATCCAATACGTGTTTTGATACATACATTATGTAACTTACAATTTGAAGGTTTTCCTAATTTGTTCCTATCACTAATGATTATTATTCTTGTTGACATTATTTTTTTGCCTTTTGTCGAAAATCAATAAATTTGTATAGTTTTATATTATATCAAAATCAGGTATCATATCTTTTAATTTATCAATAAAACTATTGTACATTATATATCTTTTCTAAATTAAGTCTATACAATCTGACGAATGAAAAAAAAAGAACAATATGTTAACTATTAGATAAGTTTTAGAAAATATGTTTTGTAGTATAGGATTATTTAGTTATACAATTAAACTTTCTAGCATTTGTAATATATTTAGGTTAAAATTGGATTTATTCGCACTTGTAAAACAGTACCAACGATGGAGAATATCAAAGAACGTGTCCTACTAGTAGTCCGTACTTTTGACAAAATTACTGCGGATAAGGTATTCCATTTTAAAGAAAAAATATTATTTTACAGGGCATTGAAGAGCTACGAGTCAAGCAGGTGCGCCTCTACAGCATGAAACCTCCAATGTCGCTTGACCTGATTCGTCAGCGGGTGCTTTTATTACTCAATTTGTATGATAAAATTGATCCCAAGAAGGTATCTGTCTGCTATAGGAAATAATATTTTCAATTTTGTTAAAAAGATATTTCTATAAATAAGTAAAAGATAAACTGCGATTACTAATTGATAAATGATATAACTTTTATATTTTATAAGACTTTGTTGTTCAGATTTCATATTATTAAAACACAAGGTTCAAGTGGTTAAAGTATTCTTTATGCATTTATAGAAAAATCTTAAAAGATAACTTCCTGGGAAAACAGCTGGCTAACACCTCGCTTGAGTCGTGGTGCTTGTGCATCACTGACATGTATATATAAGTTTAATGAGCTATTTCCAAAATTGGCAACGCATTAATATTATCCACATATATATGTGTAATAAAATTGATTTATATTATTTATATTATAGAATAGAAAGGTATTGTATGCATCGATAAAATGATTACAACGATTATCACAAAATTCGATTATATTTTTATTTATTTTACATGTCAGTTATGCATTATACCTTTGCGATTAAACTGTACATGTTATATTAAATAGAATTGACTAACCACATCTTTATTACAGTTAACTTTGGATTCTCATTTTATAAATGATTTGGGTCTTGATTCTTTGGATCATGTAGAGGTTATTATGGCTGTAGAAGATGAATTTGGTTTTGAAATTCCTGATATGGATGCAGAGAAGTTATTAACACCTGGACTTATAGTCCGCTATGTCGCAGATAGAGAGGATGTTTATGAATAATAGAATATCTTTACGAGATTACATTAGTAAAAACTCATTATTATTTGTTAAAACAGGTAATGATCGCAATATCTTTTTTTATCTTTGCTCGAAGAGTAACTGAAATACCTGTTTTTCTGTATATAGACCAATGATCATTAAATAAATAAGATAATCTAATTTATAGTTTTAGATCCTCACAAATATTTGTATTCCCATCTTATATAATAATATCCACATAAAAATAAAATGTTGTATCTCGCATAAGATTCAAAACGTAATATAATCTGTTAAATATTTTTTGTTCAAAGGCATCGATGGAATAAGAAATATCGTTGAACCTTTGAAAGTGTTGAAAATATTTGTTGATTTGTAATATAAACACATTTCAAATATAAATGAAAGTTGTAGATATATTGTTGTATATATTAATAGATATACAGGACAATAAAATTAAACGTATATTAAATCATATTGATTTAAATATAAAAGTAGTTAGATTGTTCAGGCGGGGACGTACGCTAGATGAAGAAAAATTCAAAATTGCCGCTAAACGTTCGCTGAGTGTTCGTATAAATACTCGTTTGCGATTGGAGGATATTTGTTGCGAGGCGCCATCTGTGAAAAGATAGCGTCGGCGCGCTAGAAGAGCCGGTTAGTCGGTTTCGAACCATTGCCTCGATCGTTTCTGCTTTTTCGCATAATTCCGAATTATCTTATCGATGTTATTATTTCCGTAATTAATTAATTATTCTTGTCAATTAATTATCGCAATTATTCGAGTTAAGTGCGAATGCGGATAAAAACGTAGAAGATTTAGGGGAAGAAGAATAGGAACGAGATGGAAAAGGACGGAGTTATCGAATTCGGTTCGTTCGATTTCGTTTGAATGAAAAGTAAGCGTTATTTTCGTATTATTCTATTAATATTGTTAGATTATTAACCATTGAATCGTACAAATCGATGATATAACGATCATTCCTTTGCTCCACGAATTTAATTTCTTTTTAACCGGTTTCGCACCGACGGTTAGTTAATGCGCGCGAAATAATGTTAGATTCAAATGATGCAGTGTATGCGGAAAATAGAAAAAAATGAAAAGAAAAAGAAAAAAAATGAACTTCGAATCGAATAATTATAATTCTACTATCTTTCGATTTTTCAGAATAACCTTGCAATGCACCTAGTAATGATTTCGTGACAACTACGACGATTGGTAAAGTAAACATAAATAGAATATATCGTAGAAATATATATATATATATATATATATATATAAAAGAAATTGTTGAATCGGCATTCTGGTACGAGTAAATAATTTCGCAGTAAATATATACATATATGGCGGATCGAAAGGATCGGGATGATCAGTGGGTGGGCGGGAAAAGACAATACATCGAAACTAAAATGAGGAATCGCGAATCGACGGATGAAATAATAAAATTGGAGGCAGAGTTGAAACGAGCTTATTGGAGGAAGGAATTGGTGGGACAGTTAACTGCGAAACAAGTAGAGAAAAATATGGAAAAGACTAAGGCCCATTTGGAATCTGAGAAGAATCGATTGTTAGCCTTGATCGAATTGGAGGACGAGGATAGGAGGAGGGCACAAAAGAGGGACAAAGTGCGAGAGGATATGGCACGAGAGATCTCCGAGAGAACGGCAAGGGAAGCTGAGGAAAGGGTTAGGTTAATGGAGGAAGGTTTAAGGGAGAGAAAGTATTTGGAGGAAGTTGAGCGAAGGTTGGAGGAGTATGAGAATACGAAAAAGTTAGAAAAGAAATTGGAACTGGCCAGGATCAGGGTCGAGGATAGGCAAATAATTTCGGATCTGATGGAAATTCAGTTGGCTTTTAAGAAGAAGGAGGAAGAGAGTGCAGAAAGGGACAAGCAGATATATTTCCAGGAGATCGAACAAAGAAACAAGGACGAGAGGAACCGTAGGGCCAAGATTGAGGAACGCAGAGAACGGGTTCTTACTTCTTTATTGGCCACCATTATCCAAGAAGACGCTAGCGAACGTGAAAAGAAACGACTCCTTCAGGAGCTCATTTTCGAGGAACTCGAGTTGGAACGTGCTATCAAAGATTGGAAGGAAATGGACATCCAATCTAAGATGGCCAAAGCATTGATGGGCTCTTTGAAACAACAGATCATCTTGACGGAACTCTGCAAGGCCGATTTCCTCCGTCGTGATCAAGAATTCGCTAAGGAAATGTCCAAAAGATTGGCCGAGAATGATAAAATTGTTCGATTAACTGCCGATGCTAAGAAAAGAGCATTATTAAGGTATCGTCAGGATCTCGATAGAATGATAGTCGAACGTCAAATGATAGTCGATGAAGAAATTTGTAAAGTCGAAAAGGAAACTGAAGAAGAACGCATATTAAAAGCAACAAGGGAAGAGATTATCAAAAAGGAACGCGAAATTTTATTGTTAGAACACGCCTCAAACGTTGGTGAATTTTTGAACAAGAATTATCTTACCGAAGACGAACAAAATATACTTCAGAGAATTTCTTTTTCATCGAAGGACGAGAATACAAACGAGGAAGATGATAGTCTCTAAAATGTCCTATTATTCAAAAGAGGATTTACGTTCAACTATACAAAACCTTAATAATCCACATTTACACGATATTTATGATGAATAATATTCTTGTTCGATCTTTCAATATTTAAATTATCGGTAGCTTTTTAACTAAGTAGATAAACGTTAAGAAAATGAATAACAATGTCGCCGAGGTAGAATTTCTAAATCTTTTTTTTATATAGACATTGATAAATGAAAATATATTTTACATTAGTTTCTCAGGTCTACTTTAAATTCGGTCTCTTTTATTCGGTATTGATTATTTTCGAGAATATCAGGAATTTCGGAAGAAAATTTCGTTGGGACAAACGGCCGACAAAGAAACGATCGTTGGGATCCTTCGATCCCAATGAAAAGGGCCAATAAAAAAATGCTGGGAAGAAGACCAGTGGCGTCGGTTAGCAGAATATAGGGGACTTCAAATATTTATAGCGGTGCACGTTCAACGATTGCAAAGGAAACGAACATCCGATATTCTTAGATCGACAAAACTGTCTCCCAAACTGGATTTAATCTTCATTTATAATCGAATTGATTTTTTCTAATTAATTATTATTACTTATTACTAACTTAACACACAAATGTTCTTTACTTTTATTAATCTTAAACATTTCATTGTTTTTCATCTTTTAGATAATATTATTTTACACAATCGATTATATTTATTTTCTTCTTTATAATAACATACAATTAATTGCATATCCGAACTGTATGGGGGGGGTGGGTGGTGGGGGGAATGAATAATTCTATCGAATATAACGAGGCTTTCCAAGGGCCCTTTTTGCGAGACGCGAAACTTTCAGGGATAATAATGCGATACGCAACGAGGCGAAAAGTTTCTGGATCTTTCGTTTGGGGGTTGGTTGCACAGCTAAGCGGAACGCCCTAGGGCACCTGTGTCGGCAGATGTTACCCGACCGTTACGATATTTCAAGATTTTTCCCTTCCAAAAGTGTTAATACTTTTCATTCAAAACTAACATTTTATTTTCTTTATCTGCGACTGTTTACCGTTACATTATTACATAACATTTGTTTCCTTTTGTTTCCTCTTGTAACGTAATTGTTCGATGCGAGAAAAAATTTTATAGAAAAGAAAAAAAACAAAAAATTGTAACCAATTGTAACCAATGATCATTTATTAAATCAACATTTTTATAATTTTTATTGTTGTCAGTAATTATTAATAAACGCTACTCCAATTATTATTTATTTTTTATTTCGCAAATTTATTAATTTAATTAAATTATTTATTTATACAGAATACTTTTTCGAAAGGAAATGTCGAAATATAAAAATTGAATATTGATTTCGATTGAAAGAGTAACGAACTTATTAAATATCTTATCGTAGCCATAGATTCAACGTTAACTCGCATAAGCGAATGGGGAACAATGGAAAATGAGAGGCTCGTGAGTTTGATGTAAGTTAAATCTTTGTTAGATGTATGTATGTATTTATATATGTATGTATGTGTGAGTTTTGCACACAGGTTTATTCCGTGGGCGAGAGAGCCGGATGAGAAAAGAGAGGAAGCCCTCTTGCCTTGCTTAACCTCTATCATTCTCTTCTCCCATCCTTCTATCTCTCTCTCTCTCTTTCCCTTTCGAATAATGGGCCTTCTCCGAGGCCCACGGGTCGGGCTCAGACTCGGACTCGAGCTCGGGGTCGGGGTCGGGGTCGAAACACGTCTTTCTATTTTTCTTTCTTCATACTCGTTCGGTTGGTCATATCTTTTGGGTCCTATCCTTTTGGGTCCTATCCTATTCACGAAAATATTCTAAATTGAATCGTTTCTATTTTGAAAGCTTTTTTTGTTATTAACAATTGACATTTTGTACGTTCTTTTTTCATTCTCGTTGGGTCCTATCCTTTGGGTCTTATTCTATTCGTGACAATGTTGGACAATTGGATCTATTTCAGATGTTGTTCTTTTGTTAACAATTGACGTTTTTTTTTATGCATCTCCTTTATCTTTCTTTTTTTAGGTCGTATATTTTGGGTCCTATACTGTAATGAAAATGTTTCAAATTGAATCGTTTTTATTTTCGGATCTATCATAGGATTTAACAATTGATATAATTTTCTTTTCACATCTTTATTATTACATCATAATTTCAAAATATATATATAAAAGT